ATCAAAATTACTTCTTGCGTGATTTTGAGACACCCTGTATCACTCATTCAGCAAATATTTAGTGAGTACCTACTACGTGCCAGGTACTGGTCTAGTCTCTTGGGATAACTAAGTAAATGAAACAGTGATATGCCTTCTTGGAGTTTATATTTAGGCAGGAGGAGAGAGGATAATAAACAATAAGTAATAAATAAGCAAATTTGTATAATACATTAGAACTTAATAGATAATATGGAAAACTAGAACAGAATAAAAAAGATCAGGAGTGCCGAAACCAGTTTGGCTCAGTGGATAGAGCGTCAGCCTGCAGACTGAAAGGTCCCAGGTTTGATTCCAGTCAAGGGCATGTACCTGGGTTGCGGGCACATCCCCAGTGGGGGATGTGCAGGAGGCGGCTGATCGATGTTTCTCTCTCATCGATGTTTCTGACTATCTCTCTCCCTTCCTCTCTGTAAAAAATCAATAAAATATATTTTAAAAAAAAGATCAGGAGTGTGATTGGGCTGGATTGATTTATCTTGAATAGGGTAATGCAGATAGGTCACATTGAGAAGATGACATTTGTGCAAAGACTTGAAATTGGTGACTTAGCCTTATAAATACACAGGATGGGCAGTGAAGGCAAAGAGTATTCTAGGCAGAGGTAAAAGCCAATACAAATACCCTTAGGTAGGTACCAGGAACAGCAAGGAAGGCAGTAAGCTTAGAGTGAAATGGGATTAGTAAGAGTTGAAGTCAGAAAGGTAATGGAGAATCTGGACTATGTAGATCCTTATACGCCAGTGAAAGGACTTTGACTTTTACTCTGAATGAAATGGGGAACCATTGCAGGGGTCCTCAAACTACGGCCCGCAGGCCACATGCAAATACAAATATTGTATTTGTTCCCGTTTTGTTTTTTTACTTCAAAATAAGATATGTGCAGTGTGCATAGGAATTTGTTCATAGTTTTGTTTTAAACTATAGTCCGGCCCTCCAATGGTCTGAGGGACAGTGAACTGGCCCCCTGTTTAAAAAGTTTGAGGACCCCTGCATTAGAGTGTTGTTAACAGCAGTGACATGATTTGACTCTCATTTAATGAAATGCTCTGACTGTTGTATTGAGACTAGACCATAAGAGGACCAAGGAGACCTGTTAGGAAGTTTTTATAGTACAGTAATCCAGGAAAAAGATGATAGTGACTCACATAAGGAAGATAACAATGGAAATAAATGATAAATGGTTGGATTCTAGATTTATTTTTAATGTAAACCCAACAATATTTGGTGATAGATTAGATGAAGGCTATAAGAAAAAGAGACTGGATCATCAAATGGAGTTGCCATCAAGTAAACTAGGAAAGGCTGCAAATAGAGCAGGTTTTGGGGGAAATCAGGAGTTCAGTTTTGGACATGATTCATTTGAGATGTCTATTAGACCATCCAAATAGAGATATTAATAGCCAGTTGGGTATATGACTAGAGTTTTGGAAAGAGGTCTGGGCTGGAGTAAAAGTTTAATGAGAGTCATTAATATATAAATGATATATATGTTTGAGCCTGGAGTTCTCAAACGTTAATGGTTTTGGGGAGAAAAGAGGAACTAGCAAAAGAGAAAACAAGGATAATGTAGTGTCCTGGAAGCCAAATGTGTTTCAAAGAGGAAAGAGTGATCAACTATGTTAAAACTGCTGATAGGTCAAATACAACGAAGGTTGAAAATTGACCATTGAAGTGTACAATATGGAGGTCACTGGTGAGCTGGAAAAGAACAATTTTGATAAAGTGGTAGGGCAAAAGCCTGATTGGAGTAGGCTTGAGAGAATTGAAGGAAAGGAATTGGATGCAATAAGTATAGACAACTCTTTAGAGGAGTTTGCTGCAAAGGGAAGGAAATAAATTAGGCCTATAGAGATCAGGATGAGAGAAGTATGATCAAGAGGTTTGTTTGTTTGAGATGGGATGAATGAAAATGTTTATATCCTAACTGGAATGACCCAGTAAGAGAACAAAAAGTTGACAATGTGAGAGAAAAAGGAGAATTATTAGAGCAATGTCCTTAAACCAGCAAGAGGTGATTGGCACAATTGTATAAGTTTAGAGGTTGGCTTTAGGAAGAAACATGGATAATTCATCTATGATAGCAGTTGAGAAGACAGAGTATGTGGTGTGGTTCCTGGGGTGTGAGTAGATGTGGTAGTGGGAATCATGGAAGTTCTTTTCCTGACTGCTTCAGTTTTCTCAGTGAAGTAGGAAAAAGATCATCACCTGAGAATGAGAATGGGAAAAGAGGAGTTGCGGGGAAAGAGAAGAAAATACGGTGTAAACTAATCATCCAGAAAAGCAAGAAAATGAATGACAAAGGCAGTGTGGTATGGTTGCCCAGTAGTATTAAGGATCATTTGATGAAGTTTTTTTTTTTAATATATTTTATTGATTTTTTACAGAGAGGAAGGGAGAGAGATAGAGAGTTAGAAACATCGATGAGAGAGAAACATCAATCAGCTGCCTCCTGCACACCTCCTACTGGGGATGTGCCCGCAACCCAGGCACATGCCCTTGACCGGAATCGAACCTGGGACCCTTCAGTCCGCAGGCCGACGCTCTATCCACTGAGCCAAACCGGTTCTGGCTTGATGAAGTTTTTACGTAAAGCAAATAGTTGTATGGGTTTTTATCCAGCCACTTTCTGCTGCATAGATGCAGGTACAATAGTCAGTAGAAAAGTTGTATTTAACAAAGGCTTGTAGTTTTTTCCAGAAGAATACAATGAAAGCCAAAGAGGGGCAGGAAAATCAAAGGAATGATTATAATTCATTCTCATGGAATTTAAACTAGGTGCAGAGGAGGACATCAAGAGGATGAGGGACCATGAAAAATTAGCATGAATGGATTGAAGGTCTTAGTGCAGTTGAAGGATTGCTGGGGTAATAAAGAGAGTGAGTTAGAAAGGTAGGAGATGGTCCAAAAGTATAATACATGGAACAGAACAGGATATAAAACTAAGATGAGGGAATGAGAGAGGAACCTAAAGAAGCACTCACTGCTAGGATCATGCAAGTGCAGAGTTGGTCCTTACATGACCCTGAAAGTGAGTGCCTCCTTAAATTTTACACCCTGAGAGCCTCATTTATACCACCTGGCTCACCCTAGTCCCATCCTTGACTGAGAATATGAAAAAGTTGTAAATAATGGACTGAATTTCAGAGAATATAGTGGAAGGATTGAAGGAATTAGGGAGAAATGAAAAAAAGAAGGCAAAATAAGGTATTTACAAAGCCTTATGGAGATCAGGATACTAAAAAATGAGCATGACCTGAGAGTTTGGGGTTCTTTGGTTACTGTTAAAAAAAACAACACAGGAATAAAGAGCATAATAAGATTAATCCTAATGGATTCAAGGTTGGCAATGTTATTAGTGTTGCTGGATAAGGAGGAGTGGATTTCTCAGGCCAATATGAACCTGTTCTGTTTTCATCAATGAGTTGTATCTTCATTCTACCATCTTGCAAAGTAGCTCTTTTGAGAATACAACATGAACAAGTTTAGATTTTTTTCTTGTCCTTAATGGACAGGTATATAGATAACATTTTGTAAATATTACTTTGAGATGTAATTTAACATATTTATCCTTTTTAGAATGGACAACAAATTGTGGGAGAAAAAGCTTTAGAATATTTAGCTCAATATTCAGAAGACCCAGAACAAATCTTTACAGCTTTAAAGTAAGTAATCCATATCCTATGGTTCGGAAAGGATTTCCTCTGTTAATCTTACTCTTGGTCTATAAACTTTGCTGAAATAGTGTTGATGGGGTCAGGCTGTGTCAGTGCCTACTATACAGCTGTTTTGTATTTAAAATTGTTTCCAGCTTTATCTATATATATAAAAGCCTAAGCGACTGAATGAATGAACAAACGAATGACCAGTCGACCGGTCGCTATGATGCGCACTGACCACCAGGGGGTAGATGCTCAATGCAGGAGCTGCCCCCTGGTGGTCAGTGTGCTCCCACAGCCAACTTCCCATGGCCAGCCAACCTCCCATGGTCTCTCCCTCCTGCTGGCCGGCCCCAATTGGCCCCAATCAGGACTGGACAAGACGGCCCCCATTGCCGGGCAGGCCGAGGGACCCCACCCATGCTTGAATTCGTGCACTGGCCTCTAGTTGAGATATAATTGACAAATAACAATGTGTAAGTTTAAAGTATGCAACCTTATGATTTGATACATGTGTATATTGTGAAATGGTTAGCACAATAAGGTTAGTTAACACATCCATCCCCTCAGAAAACTGCAATTTTTTTGTGTGCATGGTGAGAACATTTAAGATTTACTCTCTTGGCAACTTTCAAATATATCATACATTATTGTTAACTATAGTCACTGTGCTGTACATTAGTTCCCTAGAACTTATTCATCCTATAAGTGGAAGTTTGTAGCCTTTGACCAACATCTCCCCATTTCCCTCCTCAGCCCCTGGCAACCACCATTATACTCAGTTTTTATTTATTTGGTGCTTTTTTTCACTTCCCTCATGTAAGTGTGATAATACAGTATTTGTCTTTCTCTGCCTGACTAATTTTACTTAGCATAATTTCCATCCATATTGTTTAAAAAGTCAGGATTTTTTTCTTTAATATGGCTGAATGATAGTCCATTGTGAAATGTGTGTCTCTGTGTGTGCATACCATTTTGCTTTATCATTCACGCAGACACTTAGATTGTTTTCATATCTTGACTATTGTGAATAATGCTGTAGTGAACATGGGAATGCAGATATTTCTTTGAGGTAGCAATTTTCATTCCTTTGGGTATATACCCAGAAGTGGGGTTTCTGGATCACATGTTAGTTATATTTTTTATTTTTGAGGAACCTCTTTAACTGTTTATCCATAGTGGCTTTACCAATTTATAATCCCACTAACAGTATACATGGGTTCCCTTTTCTCCACATCCCCACAAACACGTTATCTATTGTCTTTTTTATGATTGCCAGTGTAATAGGTTTGAGGTGATATCTCGTTGTGGTTTTGATTTGCATTTCTCTGATTATTAGTGATGTTGAGCATCTTTTCACATAACTATTGGTTATCTGTATGTCTTCTTTGGAAAAATATTCAGGTCCTTTGCCCACTTTCAAAACAGATTGGTTGGGTTTTTTGTTTGTTTTGGTATTGAGTCAAATGAGTTTCTTATATATTTTGAATTTTAACTCCTTATCAGATATACTAGAGGCCCGTGCATGAATTCGTGCACTGAGGGGGGGGTCCCT